ATGTTGATTGTAATAATAAATTTAACCGAACCATTCTCTCCAACTAAAAATAAAAATAAAGAAATACACGTTTATTTTGATTACTTATAAAATTTAATTTTTCGCGCGACGACGCGCGGATTTCTTTCCTAGTGAATTTCAAAAACAAAACAAAATATATGTCTCAAATGTTAAAAAATAATTACATGTGATGTGGGACATAAATATATTTACAATAGCTATATGTATTGCCAATCTAAAACTTCGAAAAGAAAATTAATATTTTTTCAATTTGTTATTCAATCTAAAAAAAAAATCATAACAATGGAAGGAAATTAATATTATAACAGTGGAAAGGTCAAAAATAGCACATGGTTTTCATGTGGATGGATTTGATTTTGGTTGGTAGTCCTACTAGCATCTAAAGCAACCTTCCAATGTATATATCTCGTCCTACTATTATTGTTAATTCAAGAAAAGGTCAAATCTTCCACATCATAATATATAATTGACTAAAGAACTATAACAATTTGGTAAAAAAGTAGTATTGTTTTATATTATGCTTACTATTATTTATTGACTCAAGGAATAAAATATATGTTGGGTTATGACTTTTGATTATTGTAATCAGGCATTGTTTTGTATCATTGGTTCTGAACGAGAACTAATATGCTAAAAAACGTATGTAATGTGTATGTTCAAAGCTTATGTTTTTAAATAAAATTCACGATATTTATATCTAACTCTAAATGTCAAAAGAACAGGTGAAATGACACAATGATCTTCGATAGTCTCATGTTATATCAGTGTAGGTTTTGAAAATTCTAAGTTGAAGAAGATTTTATGTGCTAGAGCAAGGACTTCTTCAAACTATCTACCATATTGGTGAAGAAGGTCATGTCATATATTGAAATTTTACTACTCTTTTTAAATCATACATGTATAATATCTGATATAACTTAGTAATGATTATTTAACCAAAAATATATATAGTAATAACATTTAGTATTTAAAAGCATATATTTAGATAAGGTATGTTTTTTTCCTTATTTTCTCCCCAAAAAACAATGGAAAATAGGGTTGAATAACCCCAAAAAAAACTATAATTCAAAATTGGGAATATTGTTGTCTACCATTTGTGGTGAAATTATTTGCTGAAAATATCATAATTGGAAATCTCTTATAAAATCTACCACAATTGCACTGTTCACAACGACATAAAGATAATTATGCCTCTGTATCAGCTTTGTTTTGTTTATGTTTTTGTCCACCATAAATGTTATTGTCCACCGTCGTCTCTAACCATAATTTGGTGGACAAGAATTTAGAAAATATTGTGGACAAGAATAGAGCAATACTTTTAAAGTCTCTGTTGGTGGACGAGAATATCGTAATGATTTTGAATGCTTAGTTGTCTTTACCTATTGTTTATTATCTACATATCTGAAACTAAATAATATTTATGTCTACTTTAGGATAGAAGAATATGTGCACATCCAAATGTATGCGTAGGACCAAGTGGACAACTTATGAACTTGTGTTATGCGTAAAAATTGTCCACTAAAGTCGTAACAGATAAAGAAAGTTATTTTAGTGGACAACTGTATTATGTGTGAAAATTGTCCACTAAAATTGTAGC